CAGTTAGTATTGCTATGATTTGCTTTGCAATCTTTTGTCTGCACAATTTCTCTGGCATCTCCTCAAGGCAAAGGTGGGCCCCCATGATCTCAAATTAGGCCTAGCACTTCGTTCAAACATCCGCTTGCTGCGCTCCCTATCCGTGCGCCACTCTTCCCAATCTCGTCATGCCACAGTGGTGCTCAGAATCCCGCGTCGTTCCACCTAGAGATCGACAGCAGCCGTTCATCCACCCGCTTCTTCCGCCAGTCTCAGCGATCGATATTCGGACTTTTCTTGCTGCCAATCTCTCAATCTATAGCGCCCATCGCAGAGATATTCGCCATTCGGCCGGACGAAAACCTTTCCAGTTTCAAACCCCCAATTTCGGCTCGAAGCGCCCAGCTATCAAGTACCTCCCGCCGAGATCTCTGGGATTGGATTCGAAGAATGGCTCATGGCGTCCCTCAACCGACCGTGATAAGAGAGAGAACCACTGTGACATTGCGTTTGCCTTCAGTAGTGCTTACGACAAGAAAGCCGTAGAGGGTCAAGAGAAGATCCTCATCAACATAGTAAGAGTGTATGTGTTCGAGATACAAAATGATTCGACCCAGGCTCGAACTGGGGACCTTCTGTGTGTTAGACAGATGCGATAACCAACTACGCCATCGAACCGTTGTGTAGGGTATGAAGTTCCGTGTCCATCACATGCTTTGTTTAATCGATTACATTTTCTTCCGGTACAGTTGTAACATACATACAGACAGATCGTATACAATACTATAACCTTGATACACACTCAACAGAGTAATAACCCATATAAATGAAGAAATATAGAGCTCCTTGATGCAAGGACCATTGCACTGCCTTATAATGATCAGCCTTTCCGAGTCTTCGTTGCACGTCCACACCCATTCCCAGAGGCGCGCGCCTTAGACGAACCTCGACGAGCTCCACCACTAGCACTTTGTTCCTTCTCCTTCACAACACGTCTTCTCTTTACCGGCCTAGGATCGTCCTCTTCGATACTTGCCGCCTCTGGAGCCTTCCTTTCCCTCAAAACCATGGTAAGTGGTGCTGGAGGCAGACGAGGCAACCGTCTCTTTCGTGTGGCAGGCCCTGCAGGCACTGTCTCTGGATTTGACGGATTAACGGAGGAATCGAGCGGGTCTCTGGACTCCTCAAGAGCTTTCGCTGTGGTTCTCTTGGGGTATTCTACAGCAGAGGGACATTCAGTAAGAGAATGATAAAAGACGATGAACGAAAAATACTTACTAAACCAGCTCGCAGAGGAGTCCTCCACAATCACAGGGGGTTGACGACGGGCGGGTGCTTGGCGGCGTTGGCGCGATGGTCCAGGGGCGGGTACGGGTGCAGGAGGTTCGTCCTTTGTCTCGGATATCGCTTTAGCTTTCCCCTTCTTCCGCATGTTCTGGGTTCGCTCATTTGTGGGCGTGTTTTCCCGGCTTGGTAAGACTACAACGAAGTCTAGGGGATCTCTAGAGTCCTCGGCCGCGTCAGCTTCGACTCTCAAATCTTTCCGACGTGGTTCTGCAGCAGAAGAGATGCGATGAGCACAAGGACGACAAGGCACGATTTTGAACAAATAATACTCACTGAACACAGTGGAGGAGTCATCCAGAACCACGGGAGCCCACCTACGAGCAGGTCGTCGGGGAGACCTATCTGATGGTCCGGGGTTGGGAGAGCGATTGGGCGTGTTGACAGGTGGGTACGAACGATTTTCGAGTTCCGCCAGTGTAAGTGCGTCGTTCACTCGTTTGGGTACCTCTGCTCCCTTACGATTCTCCGTAAGTTTCATCGTCGGGACAGGTCGGCCTAAGGGATCAAGTGATAGCCGTATCAGCATCTGTAAACAGATGGAGGTTCGAATAATACTCACCACGTATCTTCCGGGGTAGGAGGGCCCGGCGACGGTCCTTAAGACGGTCCTTCACGGGGCTACATGGTGGCGTCGGTGAGTCTAAGAATGTTGGAGGAACTGGGAGTTGTCTGTCAACGACTTGAGTCGGGTTATGAAAGTTTTCTGGTGGCGGATCGATATCCATAGCTGCCTCTTCCATATCGTCCAGAAGCATGTCGAGCGGATCGTCCGTCTCAACCTCCACGTCGTCTACTTCATCGTCTTCTTCCTCGCCGTCTCCTTTAACGACTCCCATCCTTCCCCTCTCGTACTCGTCGAACGCCAGGAACCACTGTTCCATGTCCAGCGCATGAAACTTCCTCAAGTAATCTCGATATATCCTCGTCGGCGGCCTCCCCACCCCCAAATTCGGTGTCTCCTCCTTTTCGAGAAACCTAGGTATCCACTCCGGCTTCGGCCTCTTGTCCTCGGGCAGCTTCCTCCACTCGAAATTCTCCTTGACCCGCCTGGGGTTACTCGTGAAATCAACGTGATATGGGTACCCATACTCTCCTTTCCCTCGCAGACCAAATCGTAAAACCTTCTTCGACTTCTCCTCGACGAGGCGCTGGAACTTCTTCATGTCGACTTTGCCGTCCGTGGCGTCGGACCGGAGGTCTCGGAAAAGCTGAGCGTTGTATTCGGCGACACGTTCCTCGAGGTCTGAGGAGAATTTCTTCATCAACACCCGGTGGGCATCGAGGGCTTCTCGGTCGATGGGAAGCAGCTTTTTCTGGACGTCCCGTTCCGTGATCCACTCAATTTCGAGCAACCTGTGCGTGATCATGCCAGGGATGGCGTGAACACGCGTCTTCGTTGGCGACTCTGGTTCTGGTTCTGGCTCCGGCTCTGGTCGTGGCATCGACGACGGTGGAGGAGGAGAAGACCCAGGTAGAGAAGACGACGGGATGAATCCCGACGCAAAATCGGGGTTGTACGTGTCGGTTGAGCTTGACGAGCCCAGAGCACTAATCCGACCGACGCTCCCGGCAAAAGAACTGGAATCGCCGACAATGGTGGCGACTTCGGTCATATCGTCGTCGTCGGATTCACCGCCATCTGCAGATCCCTGCGAGAGGTAGTAATCGTATACCCCGAGGTAAGTTTTGGCGTGCATGTGGGAGAAAGTTGGGGGAGGGAGAGTCGGATAGTCAACGGAAGGAGGGTTTGTACGTGGTGTGGAGGGTGGTCGCGACGATGAGGCGCCGACCCGAGGATTGATATAGGCGTAGTCAACCACGGCGATACCGGAGTGTTGTAGGTCTTCAGCGATTTCGGTCACCGATCGTTGCTTCGGGATGACGCGTTTAGTTGGACACGGAGACGGTGGGGATGTGGCAGCAGGAATTGTGGCGTGAACTGGAGCCGCTTCATCGGGCGTCTAGAAACGGTGACAAAATAATGACATTCATCAGCTATTCAGGCTGGAGCCAGAGACCGACTCACCACGACCTCGTTGGTACCATGATTGACAGCATCCGGTTCTTCCTGCTGTTGTGGCAAAGGCTGAAGAGTGTGTTAGCTGACACGCTGCAGTGTAAAGGAGAGTAGCGCCTACGTCGGCCTGGGCACTATAGAACTGTTCGCGTGCAATAGTTCTCGTACTGGGCGTACGACCCATTGAGAATCAATAAGTAAGCAGAAAGGGAGGGCGTGGCGAAGGAGACAGACGAGAAATTGGAGGTAAAGGTCGATGTTTGGGAAAGAGGGATGATCGTGGTTGTGGTTTAAGGAGCGTGATCGTGGATTGATGAACGCAGGGCCTTGAACATGCCACCGGCAAACTCTTGGCTAAGGTTTTATTGTGGTCTACATTCGGAGTCAGAAAGTTGTCCTCATTGTCTTGCTCTTGCTCAGTCAACGCACATACAAGGTCACATGTTACGTCTGAACGTGAACGTTGAAGGGATGGCAAGTGCCTGCAAGTACATGCTGTGCAGTGTATACGCTCCTACTCTCCGTGGCACTGCTTTCTATGAGGGTTGGGGGAACAGCCTGGTGAGTATCGAGAACTGAGCAAGGTCACTAAATTCGTACCTCATGGGCCATTGTCATCTCGTGCTGACTCTGAGCGAGACGGCCTGCCTGAATGACATCATGTCCACTACACAGGGTATTGCAGGAAAAGCCTGACCAGTAAGAAAACATAGCACTTGGTCCACATAGCTCACAACAAGAGACAGGAATACAAACCAACCTTGACCGTGCAACATAGGGGCCAAAATCATGTAGCAGCTGCGTGTACAATACGCCGCCTTCACGTCTGCCTTGATTCCGAGACCGGCCAGACCCTGTACTCCATTCACCTGGACTGATTCGAATGACAAGGTGGTCTTGAAGCCTCCAAGCCACGTACTCCCTCATGTCAACAGATCCTGGAAGGGAAGAGCTTGACAAGGCCTAATATCGCGCGGTTGCAGAGAATTCAGGTAGGATTTTCACATTCTGCATAGTTTCTTGGAATCCAGGTCTTCAAAAGCGCAGAGCGAGCATAACACCAGTCTTCGTTGTGATCCTATGAGCGTACTGAGGGATTCTGGGAGATAGTTTGACCAAGGGTCTTTTGTTAGCGAGGAATAGGACAGTAAAACCCAACGCACCTTTCGCCTCCATTTGAATTTCCCTTTGTCTGTATGCACATTTATCCATGTTGAGACATCAAAGCCTTGCTGTCGTTCGCAAGTGAGCTATCTTGAGATTTTCTCTTCGCTTTTTACAACGTTGCGTTTCTCCGTCGCCATGTAATCCGCTGAATTTCGAAAAGCTAGCAAAATTCATCAATCGTTATGCATTAAGAAACAGAAGAAAAGATACGTACCCTCACCCATTCTAAAGCACTTTTCAATAGAATCCAGCCATCATCGCTAGTCGTAGACGTCGACAAGCCGGTTCCTTCCTGGCTGTTCAGGTCGAGGGAAACGTGGAGTCAGGACAAATTGTTTCGAGCTTTGTGATCGTAAGGCTCGTGAAGTGGAGAGGGTCACGATCATTGAGTGGTAAGTGTAAAGGATCAAAGACTACCCGCCATAGAGAGAAGAGAGATTCAAGAGGGGTACAAGGGTATTGAGGTGTGACGGGAAGGAAGCAAAAACATCTGCCCCAGTGAGGCTCGAACTCACGACCTTCCGATTGATATAGTCCGGTACACCCGAAATAACAGTCGGACGCTGTAACCAACTCAGCCATGGGGCACATAGATGAACCAACAAAAAACAAGCATATGATGTGCTATGTATCGAGATCTAACAATTCGGCTGTGGCGTGGACCCACAAGGAACAGTCACTTCACGAGTGGTATGATATTGACCACAAACCCAAGGTTATTTAGAAGGTACGAAGCACATTAGAGCATCACCAATCGAGCTAAGCACTGTCCTACTCCATCCATCATCTGAGACCCGTTTTTCGGTGTTGATCTCCTCGTGCGTGACCGCGGAGGAGATGACCGCTTGGACATCGGATTTCGGGCAGGTTCCCTCGAGAAGCGTCATGCACTCGTGCGGGGAACTGAAAGTGAATTGTGCATATGAGCGCCCGCATTGGCACTATCCTCACAAGCACACCCCACGGCGCCTACAGCGCTTATTCTCCTCCGTTGGGTTATCCGGCAATGACTCGAAAGCGAGGCCTTTGTGGGTCCTGGTACACATGGGCCTGGACGTGTGCCAAAGCACCAGGCGCGCTCACAAGCCTTTAATTGGGCGGGACGCCGAATCGACTAGCCTACAATGAGGATTGTTAGAAATTCTGATTCGCTAGAAAACGGAGGAGGGTTCTACTCACCTGCGTCGTTCCCCCGTCACGGAAAGAGATTTTCATTCCCGCTTCCCGTCTCTTTCGACCCTGCTCGATCGTCTTCATTCCGCCCCCACACCAAAGATCTCGAGTCATCATTCCTAGCGCATGTAAACACCGAAAACGAGAGCTCGTGGCACTGATGTGAGCAGAACGGGAGGGAATGCCTTCAAGGATCTTCCAGAACTCTGCACTCTGCGTCTTCTTTTGCGCCGGCAAAACTTCCTCCAGGCCGAGCAGCTGAGGCCCAGGCTCGACAAGCGTTTTCGAGCATTCTGATCAAACTGTTTACGTCGATGAAGCTAGGGAAGTGATTCAAGGTGAGTCAGGGGACGTCCCGCCGAAGAAGATCCGTATAAACCTTCCTACCTTCGCATGGACAACGGATCCCAACTAAGTCAAGATTCCTTCAGTTAGTTTACGGCCAAATAGCCCTGAGAAATGAGCTTCAGGGATGGCCGTACATAGATAAAACAGATGAAGCAGGGATGATACCTTTCATGACCGCCCTCCGACATTGAGGCAACTTGAGCCTGGAGAACCTAAATCTGACGGCTCAGCTCGAGATATGATCAAAGCTTTGAGGGAAGATCATTTCAGGGTCATTGGTCGTCAGCGTCGACTTTTGAGAGATTACCCTCACCAAGGTTTTAGCAGCATTGGGTTTACTCCCTTCCGGCAGGATCTGGCCCGAGTTATATCGAGTGCTGAATCGAATGATGCGCCAAATTATCCTTTCCCTAAGAGTTATCGTCGTCGAAAGACCGCAAGGAAATCATCCAGCCGATTCGCGCATGAGACGCGGGGAACGCGAGTGGGCGGATGACGGCGGAGAAACGTGGGAAGTTGAAATTCACGATGACGCTCTGTTGTTGACTACCATCACCGACCTTCTCCCCGACTTCGCCATGCCTCAAATGCTGCGCAAACCTTCTGATATTGCTAGGGCATTCCCTTGTGCTTACTATCCGAACAGTGGGCTCTCAGAAAAGCGCGAAAAACGCGCTCCAGTAATGCCAAATTGAACCCAGGTGGTAACTACACCAGCACCGCGCACACCGCCTTCGAGTTCTTTGTACCACTCTCAGATAGCCGGTAATGAACGGTTTATGGTGAGGAATATTACCCTTCTCTGTGATGACTGCTAATTATCGTCTCTACTAGCTCAACAAGATGCAGAACGACTCGGGCATGGACTATTTCAGTAGGCTGCAGGAATAGGTCACTCCAAGCCTGCTAGTAGATGAATGCAAGGAGCGCGTTTGCATGTCACCAGGATCCTTCTACGTAGAAGGCGAAAATGCAAGGACACAACGTAAAATCGTCGTCACCGACGTCCTGAAGATTCTCTCAGAACATTTTGCATAGGTCCTCCGACCCGAGGCGATATCTGGAGTATACAGGGTATTCGAGATAGCCGTGCCACAGGGACCGTCGACCATGGACCAATCCTATTCCCTCGACGGCCTTGCAAGACGAATTTGGATTGATTGAACCTTAAAAATTTCCACTCAATCCGGGCGGCGGGGCCCAGAGGACCACAGGATCCATCGCCGACGATGTGTATGACCTTGTATCTCAAAAAGGCAACTTGTCAACACGATACAATTCTTCCCGCTTCTTCTTTGTTGGTTGTGAGTCCCTCCCTCAACAGCATGCTGCCCTCTCTTATTATCACCCTGTCAAAGTCAAGCGGAGACAAGTCATAACTCGAGAACGAGGTCGAACGCCAGCATTCGGGAGGGCAGACGAATCGTTCTTGCAAGTTCTCGAGAACAACGCCTGAGTTACCAGTGTGGGTCCAATCGATCAGACGTTTTCGGTTGTAATCAATGTCCTTACCCTCTCTCCACCTCGCTTTTGCGCAGTCCCTTCATTTTCGATCATCAAACCTTATAGAACACCGGCCTGTGGCCGGTCGCCTTGCATGTATTGACGTGGACAGCCCGAGGCGTAACGAGAAAGGTGTATAGATTGGCACGCGGGGCCTGGAAAGTCACGAGGGAGACAATGGGAGGGGCTTTGCTATGTGACGGTTCAAGCGGTTGAATTGAGTTTTAAAGAAACGCCGAGCGCGCGAAGGTGATCTTCCTCTTCAACTTGATCTTCTACCACTATCGACGCGACTTCTCAACGACGCATGAAACATCAACGCACTGGCAAACAAGTGGTCTCTAATACAACTCCCAACGCAACACAAGCGAACGAAAGTACCGACACTCCCAACAGTACGTTGACCTCATTATGTGGCGTCGATCTCGTTCGCTGACTAAAACCCCAGAGGGATTCAAGGCCATGTTCAGAGAGATCCAGACGCCCACGAGAGATGGTCCTCAATCAGGTAGGATGGTTACTCTCCGTCTCCGCGAATTCCCGGCATTGACCATCTACTACTAGAGTTTTTCTCCACCAAACGACGACCCAGAATCGAGGACACCAATGTGGAGGATGAAAGGGGAGTCCAGCAAAAGCACTCTAAGAAGCAACGCACTTCACAAGGCGCTCTGCAGAGAGAACTGTCGCGTCCACACGGCCCCGAGCAGACAAATCGAGGAAGCCAAAGCGAGCGGCGGAACATTGTTCCTGTAGGGGCTGATCCTTCCACCGCGAACAGCTCGTCCTCTACCATCGGCAAAACGAGGAAGTCATCTCCACCCTCACCTCACTCCCTCGATGACCAGGCTGAGACCCATGACAACTTCTCGCGCCTTCCCCCCGACACTCCTCCTGTTGTTTCCACTTGGATCCAGACACTTGGGTCCTCCCCAGCTTGCTCCTGGGTTCCCGCTCCGCCACCTCCAACAGTCGAAGTCACTCAATTCGTTGCACAAGCGTGCGCCACAAATGAGTCGTCCCCCTCCCATCTCACAGCCCCACCTCCCCCGGCCAACCAAATCGCGCCTCAGACGCCCTCTCAAGTTCTGCCAGTCTATGTGACCCAGGCGCCTGCCTCTGGCACCACAACGATTGACTACTGGGACCCCCTCAACCAGCCAGGTTCCTCCCTCGCCACAATCCCTGGTCGTCCCTTTCCCTCGCTTTCCGGCCAATCCCAAGGTTTTGACATGCCCCATGGGTCATCTCAGATGCAAAGTGCAAGCCTTGACACTTTTGGCGCTGGGGTCGTGCAGGGTGGCCTTTTCCATGAGTTCGAACAACATCCGCGAACTCACTTCCACTCTCCTTCCGGTCCAGTTGTGTTTCCTCCCAGCGCTTCTGAGGCTGACGACTTGGACGCCGCGGTACACCTCTTCACGCTTGGGCAAGCGTACCAAACCGAGCAGCAGCGAATCACCCAAATGCAGCAGCGGATCACCCAAGCGCAGCAGCGGTTGACTCATGCACAACGTCTCCAGGAGGTAAGGCTCCGGAGGATCGCTCATCTCGAAGCTCAACAGAACTCTCGGGGTGCGCTAAATATCCAGGAGCCCACTCAACTACCCCCACCCTCCCACAACACCAGTGACTCTCTGCCACACCAGTGGATGACCACCTCGATCGAACAGCAGCATCCACTGCAACCGCAACCACACCATTCCTCGACGTCGGTCACTGGACCGTTGCACATCCAACAGGCCCGACAGCCGTATTCTCCAATCTCTCATCCATCGCCTAGCTCCTTGGGACCGTCATCGCCGTATTCGTCTTCTTATCCTTCCTCACCTGCTTCCCATGTCCCTTTCACATCTTTTCCTTCCCCTGCATCCAGCTCTTCCGCCCATAGCTTCTCCCCCGTTCCTGTCTCTCCGTCTGCTTCCTCGCCATCTACTTTCTCTGACCAATCTTCGTCCTACAATGACCCAAGATATCGTGATCCGTTCCACGGTGGCTCCCCAGGCTCATCCTATATTTCGGCCTCCTTCGACAGTTCCCGCCCGCCAACGCGTTCACCGTCCGCCGCTCTCCGCGAGTTTGAACTTCCCGACTGATTATTCCGACCATGAGAGGAGGAGGAGGGAGGAGGACGAGGAGGACGATGGGAGGCCAATCCGCAGGACATGTCTCTTTGATTCCGTCTTTTTCCTATATTTCACATCAAAGCACACGTTCCTTATTCTCTTTCTGTCAATTTTTCAATTAGACTCCTTGCCTCGTGCATTGTTCTTTTTGTCCTTTGTCCCCTTTTATTGTTCGCTTCTAATCCAAACTCCCCGAATCCCCCGCTTTCCCGCATGCTTTCACGTCATTGTCTATTTCACTCTCGTTGTTTCAATACTTTCTTCCTCATTTCGTACTCTCTCGCAGTATTGTTATTCCCATAATCATATTTCTCTCTTTCTCATTTGGATCGGACAGTTAGATGTATATAGTTACTTCTTAGCAATAATCTTTCCCCTTTCCTACTTCTAATTCTAGATTTCTCCCCACTCCCAGTCGGTCCAACTTTAGAACCATCC